GCTTTGCCGTACCAACAACCGCTTCAGAAACGTATAGTCTCACAGGTGGAGGTAGATAACTGTATTGGTTCAACATGGTGACAACATGAGAGCAAACGATCTCACTATGCTCCGAGTTCGAAAATTGATCGATTAGTCGGGTGAGCCGACTCAGTAGCCAGATAAATCACCCAACATCAAGCTGCAAAAACTGTTTTGTGGGAGTAATTGAAACATATGGTCTACAAGAACAAGCCTAAAACTATCGACTAGTTGAGGAGAGAGGATTTTGTCCAATTGCGTGGAACTATTACTTTTGTCTAAACAAAATGGTGGTGGACATCATGAATGATTACTACGTTAGCGTATTTTATTCATTTTTCCATTGTTCAGCTTAACCAGAATGTAATTCAACCACAATTCAGTCCAATATCAAAACAAATTACTTCGATTCGGGGTGATTTTGATGATATCAAACATGATAATGACCTCTAGGTGCGTGGTTATACATTACGGTTATTGGTCCGAACTAAGTAGCATTTTGGCAGTTCTTTGTGGCAAAATCGTTGCAATTGAAGGGGTTCGTTTCATCAGCTTTGCTCATTGCAGAAAGTTTTCCTTTTTTAAGTTGTCTACCCAGTCGTCAATCAGTTAGGTGACTGGAACGCAATCCGTTATCATATCAATGCCTCATATCAACCTTATACCGTCCCATAGCAGACCAAAATCTGCCTTATTTAGACAAACTTCAGTCTGTTTTCAAACAAAAACGTTAAGCCACAGTCGTTTCCAGACTAGACTTTTCATTCATTTTTTGCTCATTCTAATGTTAGGTAAGCGTTTTTGTGATCCTTGCTACTTAACAGACAAATCTCCTATCACATGGTCTGAAAAGGTTTTCCGTTAAGGATCGATGACCAATAGAATCACAACTAATCACCGACAGTTAGATTGCTGCTCCAAAATCGACAAAACTGATCAAAGTAGGATCACGCGGGCGTACTAGATAATGCCAAAAACTAATCCTCTTTTTAGGTGAATGAACTACAGATATAGTTGGCGTATTCTGCGGCAAAAAAGTTAGTTTCTTCTGGAGCATCCGTACAGTCCAAAAGAGATGTGTATATCTATTTTAGGTTGACCGAGGATTTCCACATTCTTGTTAGATCTGTAAACTTTAATGGGATCTAGTGGCCACTGTCGCCCATCGATAGATCACATTTGGTTACTGACAGTGACACGACATAACGCTTGTGTTTCCCGGTCACACCAGACTGTAACAGCTGCCATTCCCAGGGAGACAGTTATACGGGTCGCCTGACCCTAGTGAATGACTTGTTTTCCCATAGGGACAATATAAACTCTGTTATCAAATGAAGTCGACGGGTGTGGCGTGCTACATTTTATGTTAATTCATCCAAAAACACTGGTCAAACTAGTGGATGATAGGATGTAACTTCTGTTCCCGCTGCTAAACTCTTGATCTTGTTCAGGCGTTGCTGTGCCTTGGATGGTAGAACCTTACTCTAGAGGACCATTCAGATTTGATTTGCAATGTGGGAGAATAACTCTTGCCGCAGAAACTGTGTCTTAAATCATTCCATTTTCAGCTTAGAAGTTGAAATCTGATTTGGACAGATATGTCCATGGGTATTTTTAGGCGCTAAAAAATTGAACAGAACCTAATAGCGGAGAATGGAAAAATTCCGCAGTTCTTCTCCATCTACTTTCCTGGTAATCTAAGACCCGATAATTCCATTCCAACTATTATCTGTCAACAAGGGAAGTGTGAAATAGACAGAGAAGAGGGAAAGCTGGATCAACTGACACCTTCATACACTACTAAACACAATAGGTACCACATCAAACGTTGGTTACAGTTGCCAAAAGGACTTTGTGGAAGACCAACTACTTAAACAAATGTGTTTGCTAGACCCACAGAGTTCGCTTGGAACCGTGGATATCAACTCCCCAAGGAATTGACCAAGATAAAACTGCTGGGTCTTCCACGACGTCCAATCCTAGTGTCAGCTAACAGTAAAAATCCGGTGGCAAGAATCTTGCGGCCAATCGTCGAACAGTTCGTTTAACCTGTGTGGCATGCAAGAGAACGATTTTCTACCAATTCCAATTCACGTGATTGGTATAATTTACCAAATCCCTGTCAAAATGGATTTCATCAGAATTATTTTGTTTAGTCAAACTGTAGATTGAAGCCAAAATCTCAGAATACGATTTTTTCTAACCTACACCGGTTTCAAAAAGACCTTCGAAAGGTTACAATTGCCCAAAGAAGCGGAGGTGACAATTCACACCGGATTTCAAATGTTCTAAATTGACGGTGGCTGTTCCCCAGAGTAATGGCGGTCCGTCGATACAAGCAGTTATTCGCAGTGACGTTTCACAAGGATCCGTCCTCTACGCTATTGTTTTTTACCCATACACATAGTCTGCCCTCAAAATCGTGGTCTCAGGGCTATTTCTATGACATTAAGTTATGGAGAACAAATCGAATACTTGTAAGACAGTTACCTAAATAATTCCTGTCAATGCGTCGGCCAGATGTTGCTGGTCTGCATATGTAGGTCGGTCGGTAACCACAACCTGGCAACCTTCGAAGTTCTTCATGCGACACACGTACTTCCATGCTTGGACCTTGTTGGGTGTATAGCATACTCCCGTAAGCCAGTGAAGATGCAACGAACTGAGCATGGTCAACTAATATCAAATACGAAGAGCAATATCCGACATAGAAAGATGGGCTCAAGCCTCTGATTCTTTTCCTTCATACTATCGCTGGGATATGGATAACCTGACTATGCCCCGACGTATAACCCAACTGCTCACTGGTGACAACGAACGAAGACGATTGCGTTCCTGTCTCTTAGAATGAATCAGCCTGCTTCAGGTTGTCATGTGTTGTGTAGAAGGTCTCTAGAACTCGCTCTCTGTTACTGTGGTGAAGGAGCTTCAGAGCGATATTCCCGAGACCAAACTGATTTTAGAAGCACATGGTAACCCGAGGAAATGATGGGATAGGATTCACGGAGTGATGGTGGAGCCTAAATTTTAACCGAATGTTTGTATTTTCTCTTTGCGTGGAATTATCTTCGGTAGGAAAGCACGCCTATGGTAAACAGACTGCACACATCACTACAGAAAACTGGATGTGGAAAGGTACGCGCGCCAGAAGATGTGCATGTTGAAAACGGGTATTTTACTGGGCTAACCTGTCCGTGTTTAGGACGAAAACACGCATATTGTGTTGTAATTTATTCAGGAAAGCTGGCTTATTTGTAGCTGCTTTTTGTATGATAATGATTCCCTTTAAATAAATCTCTACTCGAATTTTAAAGCAAAAGAGACGCATAATGCTGCCAAATTGGTGATCCTTTGGGAGACATTTTGTAACAACACGAGAAGGATTTATTGCTTTGCCGCACCATTTCAAACTCTGTTGCATCCAGTTGCATGTACCTAACACTCAAGGAATCGGGTAGCACTCTAATAATGGCTATCGAGGCTTACTTTTGACCTGATTCAACACCAATAGCAAATTGGCTACGCCGCGGCTATTCATACAAGCATACAGATTTACGTCCCATCTGGAAGATGTTGTTATCGGCCTAAGCCTGCAGCTACACAAATAGTCTGAGCTCCAAAAGGCTATTATTTATGTTCCAGTAATCTGACGATCTGGCTACTTAACCTTCGTTTTTAAGCAACCGGTTCGGTGCATAGTACGTTTCAGCACTTAAATCTCTTATAGTACACGCACAGCTCTTGAACACAACCTACCCTCGGTAGTTCAAGATATGGATTTCGTACACTGAGGATTATGTGACAACAGTGGTACCCTCAGCTTGTTTTCAACAACCTAGAAAGTAAGGTCAATTAAAAAAATGAATACAATGACTAACAACTGTGACCGGCTTCTCTATTCAGGGCTACCTTCATAGACTCAAATTATCTTAGGGCATCTGGGGAAACGATCTATCCAGTTCAGCACTCACTGCGGGCAGAACAGGCCGCCATCTATATTTCCATTTTCTATATTTCCGCCTGTTTCCATCGACAAGCTACCCGTATTCATCCTTGTCGTCATTTTGGATCGGTTTAATGTCCATGAATTAAATATCCGGAAAAAGTTCGCCCGATTTCGTGCACAAGCAACGGGCATTTATCAAACTGGTGAGGGTCAAACTATTCTTCTCTATGTTTCAAACGCCTTCACAATAAATCGATGTAGCTAAATTGTCCTTGCAATTAGGAGTGCGTTTTAAAATACCAAGTCAACGAGTTGCCCGTTCATGACTTTCTTTGTAAATAAATCTGGAAGAATTAATAACGCAAGAGATATCATACCATTACTCGCTAATGACAAGAGGAGTTTGCCTTTGAACCAAAAACAAAAGAACGTATTTTTCAAATATCAGAATTTCTCAGTAAGAGTCACCAAATAAGCTTTCAGAATTTGCGTATAAGTTGAAAACACTACTTTTTTAGATGAGTAAAGAAAGGAAGTTTGAAACTCGGGCGATTGATTTTTTAAACTATTGTGAAATTGACTTTGTACTCGGATTATTAACGTATTAGCATGGATTATCAAGTTACTCGTATTGTCGTGGACCTTGGAGCTTCAAGATTCCGAATCACAGCTGACACTTGTTAGGCCTTCAGATTCGTCCCAACCTGGGTTTTTTTTACTTGACTTGAAGCTGAGTTCTGATTAGTTCAGCTCCAGAGGGCACTAAAAACCGTGATGAATAGGCTGCAGCATCGCGCATGATTAGGTCTTCGAGTAGATTTCACTATCGTCTGACTAACTCGGCTATTTAGTTATCAATGGTGCTATAAAACGGTTGTCGACCGGCCTCGGATATCACTAACCCGATAACCACTCTGAGGTTATGTGGCCACAGTAATTCATGAGTTGGGGTCAGTTGCTTTCGGTTACCATTAATCGTGATGTCTTCATACATATAATACATACCATAACGTGTGATTTTCTTCCCTTTTAGACTTTATTGCACGTACAAGGATTCAAAGTACGTATACATGCTCATGGAATCCTGCCTTGGCGGTGAACTCTGGACTGTTCTCCGTAACCGGTGAGTAGACCTACTCTTCCTATGCCTGGTCTTCCTGTGATATGATCTGTTCACTTTCAGGCCAGGGGAATTCCAGGTGTTCGGCTGAATTCACATATCTTCATCAGAGTTCTGGCTTCTTTCAGATTAGTCTATTTGGATGTGAACCGAGACATTCAGTGTCTTCTCTACCGTAATCACAATCTCTGTTCATCATTTTCGTCACAAAATTAACATCAGCGTTAAACACTGAATTACTTTAGCAAGGAGAGAAGTATAGAAGTGGAGATGCCTGAAATTCACCGTTAGCATCTAGTTAAGCTATGCCAAATATCGGTGACTGCCTAAGAGAAATAAATGTACGAGTTAGCAATTCAACGGAATATTAGTGGACCAGGTTGCAACGATGCTCGTCAGCTTGTGCAGAGAACTGCATAGTTTGGTCGCAAACGTCCCATCATCAATCGAGGCGACATCCTGATCTGGAGTGTGTTGAGTGTTGGCACTTGTTGCGCTTGCATGGGCTGATGTAGCGTCTACTGACCTAGTGGGTGGGGGGAAAGTTTACTCCCAAGACCACCCGGATATCAACCAATCAGAAGACAAGGGCACCAACAAGACAATAGGAATGCTCACCCAAACCACTAACGGTCCTTCAAGGTCGACCAGAATGGGTAGACCCTGTAACGTACACGCACTTCCATCCACAGCACCTCAACTGGTGACGAAAAGTTTGCAGCCGAATTGCTTAGCTCAACGGGCGCACCAACTGCACAGTGGAATTAAAAATTTATCTCCTTCAGTAATTTTTCATTCGTTCACTTGATTTGCTGAAAGCGGCATGTTGCCAAGACGCTCCTAGTTACACCATTTTCCCATTTTCATACAAGTGAAAAAGAGCGCAATAACTGTATTTGCTTAGGAGGGATGACGCCCCCTTTTACCGAGATATGGTTATGTAATTTCACCCGGCAACTTTTTTTGTCACAAGGTTGTCATCCAGCCAGACGTTCCGATTTTAAGCCGCGGTTTTGCTAACCCCTGAGAGCTTGTCGTTTTTCATCACTTTACACAAATGTCCAAAACCGTTTATATTAATGGTCTGCGTTTCTATATTCTGTTTGCACTGACATCCTCAAGGCAATGTGATATATGAAGGCTAACATTTGAAACCAGTGGCCTTGCTTTTCATAAAGGCGGCAGTTTGATCACTCAATGCTCTGTTGAGTAGTACTCACCCTGCAAAGACCTCTGTCGCCTAACTAACTCAACGCTTCGTTGCAAGTTTCACACAAATGTTCAAAATTGCCGTTCTGAAGCTACCTGTCGCTGAAATCCTTACTTCAATGTTTTCCAAAATAAACGAAATCGGTTCTTTCACCGATGTTGGCTGGTCACAAACTTGGTTAAATTTGAGCGAGGCATCATTGGCCAAACTGCGAAATAGTTGAGGAGATTTGTTTCGCTAGTAAACTCTAGCAAGGATGGAACAGCTATAAACTGTTTGTTGGCTTTGCAGCATGGAATAACTTTAATTGCGGTACGCTCTTTCGCGGCGGTATGGAATTCAACTACTGGGCTCATGGAGGTAGGCCGGAATCCCACTAGAGGTTCGTGGTATACCCGGCTTCTAGCTATTCTCCAGGTTGAAGTAGCAGGACAGACAACAAAGTGATACGACGCTTCTAGGGACGCTTCAGTGCAGGCTTACTTCAGCTGCAGAGTGCTGCTTCTATCATACGCTGTTTTGGATACCCATGATTGCTTTCAGCAATTACTTGTCATTTTAAGCTACTATCATTAAGTTTCTAATACAGCGTTAACTTGCTGGACAGGATGTTTCACGAGATTGTGATCTCATGTTTCTTGACGTTTTGCCATCTCCTGAAACATTGCTTGGATTGGGAGTACCTTGAGCTATTCCGATCGTTTACAACTTCATCGCTGACTAACGAGGATTNTTGCCATCTCCTGAAACATTGCTTGGATTGGGAGTACCTTGAGCTCTTCCGACTGTTTACAACTCCATCGCTGAGTAACGAGGATTACGGCGATTGACGGCATTTTTCTTCGCATTCCGTACTAATGATTTTGGTTTCACTCATAACAATCACACTGACCTTCTGCCTTCTTCACTATCATTGATTTTAGAGGGCGATTCAACGACGTGGTCGCTCGCTTCGTAGTTGCCTGTGTTCTGGAAGCCTTCACATACTTGCACACCCAAGGCATTATCTATCGGGATTTGAAGCCAGAAAACTTACTTTTGGACGAGAATGGTTACGTCAAACTAGTGAGCAAATTTTGGTATAGTCACACTTTGATGTTCCTCACTGTCCGCGATTTTGATGCTCCTCACTTCTGGTCCTGACGTCGTGTTGGAGCTATCCACCGGAAACATGAGAGGATTTAAAAACTGCCTTAACAGGTTTCCCTTCTCAAACTACCCCCGGGTTTTTTTTATCATTTTTATATTGAAGTTGAATGCAAACAAATCCGTATTCACTTAACGCGCTTTGGCCCCTACGGCATTGCAACACCGCGAATGGATGTAACTCAATCTTGAGACGCTCACATCCAAGCACGCATTTTCTCGACCCTCTAGACAAAAAACAATTGCTTGGTTTATCACAGGAACTCCATGTATGCAGCAAAACCTTGGGCCGTAAATGGACAACCTGCCTCCATCGATTCAGTTTGTAAGATAAGATAATGGAACACTTTTTAACCATGCCAGTGGTAGCCAATGGAGTGGACTGTCATTTGACAATCTTGCAATTGCGTCAATGGCAGAATACTCATCACAAATGCTTTTTTAACCTCACCGTTCCATCCAAAAGCTTATGGTTCTATTAATTAGCTAACCCTCGTATTGAGAACACGCCTTGAACTGTTTGCTCAGAAATCGATCATACCGGGGACGTCATGCCTCGTCATGCAGATACAGTCGCAAAGTTCTGGGCGTCATCAATAAATGCAAGCATTGAGCGTTTTTAATCACGTTGTTCCAGCAAACAGGTGGCACGCATCAAATCACTGCATGTTTCTAAATTAATTTGATTATTCCAGCCGAAGTTGTTCAAGGTTTCTGATCGCTTGCTTCCAACATTGTTGCAAAAACGGTTAGATAAGTAAAGTCAATTATGATTTATCAGTCACTCAACCTGATTTCCCAACAGCTTAGCAACATGACGAAAAACAAGTTTCAGAATTTCGACTTGCATAGTCAGCTGCGATCTCATGACTATAATTCCAGTACTACCAGATTTCCCGTAAACCCATCATCATCTCATCATATGAGGAGAGGTAGAATTGGATTTGATTTCCACATCGGATTACTCAGACCATACACACTTTCAGCATTCACAGTAGACTGATACACGTACACTTCAAGCTAAACTAAGTTCCAATACGGAAGATGATATGACCACTCACTCATTCCAGTCAATTTATCATTCCCTGTCTGATTTATTGTGGCTGAACAATAAGCCGCGCGCGCAAACCAGACTGAACAGAATTCAACGCACTACTGGCCATTTTGTGTGATGCTGGCAAACGGATAAGTATGGGTACTGAATTCAAAATCCACAGAAAGCTGTCGCACTAAACCAGCGAAAGCGTCAGAAGTGATGTGGACGTAGCACGCTTTTCTCTCATGCACGCATGGTGACAAGTACACAACTAGCCCCGATAGACAGGAAACTATCAACTTGATAAGCAGCTAAACGAGTGAATGATGAACCGAACACACCGAGTGACGAATTAATTGATCAATGAAGAAAATTGTGCGGAGCTTCGATCGGCTGATTATTCCGTTACCTGTGTTCAGCAACCATCATGTGATTGGAAGCGACAAAGCAACTATGAGCTGCATCATGTGACTGATCATTCATATGTGATCCGACCGAAAATCACGGGCTATTCACATTTTAAAGATGTGATTTCGGGTGAAATCTGCAACTTTGTCAGGACAGCCTGATTATTGATGAATGGTCAAAAGTTCGTCTAGCCCACTGCTCCGGCCTGTGAATGCTTGGCAAAAATATACAGTGGACTCTGGAAAGGTCTTCTGTTCTTACTGTAGTTCATCGAATATGCCTAAAGAACTCGGTCAGTTGTAGATCTGCCAATAGTTTAGGATCTTTGACTTCAGAAGTCTGCTCTTACTGGTGATTTGACTCGCTTTATTTTTTGGGTATGAATGTATGCTTCTTACTGTAGCTGCCGAGTTAGCCACACCAGTTTAATTTTATTTTGACTGTTCATCGATCATCATGGAGGTCCGTGTCTCTGCACACACTAAATGGTCCCAACACTGGTGGCAGGCTTCATGAGACTACCAACCAAGATGTTCAATAAATGTTCGGAATTATTGTTTTCTGTATGCTGTGTGTGCTTTCATTTGAGCCTGTGAATCTGCTCTAAATTCGTTTTAATGAGCTACCTAGTGATGTTTAAAATATTCACGTTTCTTGTTACTTGGCACCATAATTCATAGTGTTCTGCTCGTAGGCTACAAGTATCCACATCTTGAGAGGAATTGGAACTATAAATCAGTTTTTGATCAAACATACTTGTAGTGCGGAAGTTCTCCGAAACAGCATCTTCAGGTGAATCGTAGCCTAAGACGGAAGGAGGAACAAGTGGGTGACTCCCCGGTACTCCCAGAATAAATGCTCAGTGGCCTTCTGAGCTTACACTAGAACTTGTTTACACCTTTTATAAGATAATTTAATGCAGTTTACGATGGACAATGTGCTATTGGGTATCAGCCCATAAGGTCATAAATTTGAGATCAGTTTATCAAAACACTTCATTTCCTGTTCTGACCATCTGCAAAGTTACGCAGACAGAAAACCGCTTAGAAAAATACTTTCATGTCATTGGCGTGGGAACAAGATCATTGAATTCTGTTGATTGTATACTTACCTTTCTTCCATGGGAATGAATTAATGACCTAATGCGCTTCCGAAAAATATATTTGATGATTCCGTGATTGTGAAGGTTCTCCACTACCTGTAGGGTGTCAGGTGGTTATTCACGTCGGTTTCATTATCCTCATGTAGGAGCTGATGGGCATGCAACTTTTGAGTTTGGATATCAGAGGTGAGCAATATACTACGAGTTTCATCTTCTTCTTTGAACACTTGAGGTGTCACATGACCAATAATGTTGAAGGACCGATTGGTCTTCGTAGGGCCAGTCAAATCTAATTCCGCTGCTTCTTGAACCTCTCAGCTAACCAAAGCTTCCAGCCAGATGTACCAGCTTTGCTGTCATCGAAAGGTCTCATTATTCCAGCCACTCGTTCCTCAGGATCGAATACGGAGAACACCAGTAACTGATCATTTTTTTGTGATAACAGAGTGGAAGATTATCTGATCAACGGAGGGTATGTGTTACCATAATGCTCCCATCACAACCTTGAAAGTAGGAATGAGCAAAGACAGCAACACAAATTTGTTGAGGATCGCAAGGTGCAGTAGACAGCTAGGGTGTATGAAAAGCATGCAGTTGTTTCGTAGTCACATTGACTAATCGTGACATACCAGTTTGGGGGTGGAACGCCATCTCTTGTTTCGTAGCGGTGGAGATCATATTTGTCTTGAGTGAATGTGTGGTTCGTCAAAAAATTAGTGCTTAATAGTATAAAGACGGTTGCTACGCAGTATACCCGTACCTCTGGTAATCATTTTGGGCCAGGTTTCCTTACGCACCGATGACAACTTTTCAACATGTTACATTGTGTAACTATTCCTGTATCCCCCTCGCGATTTCGTTACTTTTTTTCTCTCAATCATAGTGCGATTTTGGTTTCGCGAAACGCATTGGTTTGGGGAAGAAGACTTGGACATTCTGTGGCACACCGGAATATGTCGCACCGGAGATCATCCTGAACAAAGGCCATGATTATTCTGCCGACTATTGGTCTCTGGGTATTCTGATCTTTGAGCTACTCACTGGAAGGTGAGTAGCACGGGTATTTCAGTCAGTCGGGAATATTTTGAGTTTTGATGGAATGTGCCTCATGCATTCCACAAACTGCCTAAAACCTACATCCCCAAAACCAAAGCAGTCATGTCGTTATCCTTGAAGGGGATATTGTTTTAATTAGATACTTCGTAAAGTGACGTAAAGTGACCTTGGGAGGTACCTTCACATTCGCAGCGGCTGATTTGTATAAGGAAGATGGGCGGCGGGCAATTGGAGGGAACTTCAACCTTACGCGAACCGTCAAAATAGCGAAGCACTAGTCATTTCACCCGAGTACTGGGTCAGTAAAAAGTGAACCCAAAAAACTGTGTACTTTTAGCTTGACATCCTGGTCTATATTGGGCACAGTGAAATGTCTCAGTCTTCTCCTTTATTTCAACTTATTCGTCCTCGATTTTGATGCTATGACTTCTGGTTTTATTGCAGTATCGATAGCCAAGTGCCTGTCGCTGATGAAGTTCACGAGTGACCTATTTCATTTAAAAGCATTATTTAGGCTACCCCTTATTGGGTTGGCCTGGAATACCGTCCTGCATTTTACCATCCAAGCTTAGTCGATACTACTCATGCCTAGTGAAGCCTTGCTAATCAGAAACAGTATGGTGTGTAAGTGTGCATTCTTGGCGTGTGTTGTCAGCTTGTCCTAGAGATGTCAAAAGTATTTTGACTGGTTCAGTTACTAAATTATCCCGTTTAGGGTCTTTTTAGCTTTTGATTTTAACGAAATATTCCTTCTTGTGGCATTCGTACAGTTGTATCTGTGTTTTCCTCATGACCCAACAGCCCGCCGTTCACTGGATCTGACCCGATGAAAATATACAATGTCGTGCTCCGTGGTATAGACGCGATTCAATTCCCATCGCAATATATCAACCGCTCAGCTACCACATTGATCAAACGACTGTGTGCTCACAACCCGGCACAACGACTTGGTTACGGCCTCGGTGGAACAATTGATATAAAACAAAACAAGTGTGTTTCCCCGGACATTGTCTCTTTTTTCTTGATCTGTACGCCGCACTGCACGCATATTATCTAAATATAAAGCACAACGCGCAGGTCAAACACGTTTGCAAACAACTCCGAAAAGATAAAAAAACTATTGTTATTTGTCCTGTAGTAGTATGCATAAAAAGCTCAGGAAACTACGGCAGTGACAATTAAATGTCATAAATGAATACAATATTACTTAGTTCAAGGCCAATAAGAAACTTCTTCGAATATCTTCGTAACAGTAGCCAGAGGCGGTCTGTGCACTGCACATTACGGGAAAGAATATCAAAGTGCTGTTCACCAAGAGGGACTCCGTCGAGCCCACAGTTACAACAATTGCACCATGCATACGACCTTCGGAAAATTTGTCTCAAACTTCTTAAAGAATTGCTACGTTAGTGTAGATAAAACTTATTAAGGCAGTCGCAGAATCAATATCACTCGCCCATCGGTAATACTGGAGTTCCATACAATGTTCAGTCACCTCCCGAAGACATGAGTTTAAGGATATGAACTAATGGATGGAGCGAGATTATTGCACGTTTATCTTATTCACCGCGAGTTCCTTCAGAAGATTGCCTTAGTGAACAGATAAACTGGCTGCGGACGGCTACCTTGAGGGAGAGTAACCTGCGACAGCTCTAGAATTCCGCGTCAAAGCTTCCTATCTAAGATCGAATCACACCAGGTTTCCCCGACGTTGTCGACCATGTTCGGGGAACACGTTAAATGTCTTTGGCCTCTCTTTTTTGTCAAAGTTTTAATGCTCCTTCCCGGCTCAGTCACTCGTATTGTGCTCCCATTCCCTCCAGGGTTGATAACCTGCTAGGCATGCTTGCCGTGGGGACAAGTGCACACAGCTATTTACTGAAGGATAATGTTTGACACAATATTCCAAACTGGACGAAGATGCGCAGATGAATATTCCACCGGTGGAAGGCTATGTGCACCGACCTAAAGGCCCTAGAGTCCCTCGTGCAAAAATGTTGAGATCGTGCCCTTGAAAACACGTTATAAAACCTGATTTCTCAGAGTATGCATAAGTTCTACGGTAGCGGATAGATAGGATTTTTCTAGTGAAATCGTTGGACGGTGTTGTTCACTAACCGGTATCTATCTGAACCATTTTATCAGTGATCCATCTGAGTCACGTGTCTAAAGTTTAATAGGCGATATGGTGGGTTACGTGACCGGAGGGTTTTGTAAGGTGTAGGCACACTACCTGTGCTACTGTTGAAGAATCCGCCTATTCATTCTACCCATCAATGATCAGTATATGGCCCGATGTTCCGGAGCATGTTACTCAAGGTCATCCATGACTCTATTGATCATTATGGCCTCCATGAAATGGGATATCACCGACAAGGGGATTCAATGCATTTTTCCATCCAGTATCCTCTGTTTCGAGACTTGAAAAATTGCCTGCTATTTGGTTTTCACTTTGGGGGAAGGGACAAGATTTTTCACGAGGTTGAAGTGGAAGGGTGAACTCTTCGACACCACTTCAGTTGTCACCAGTTGGAATATTTAAGAAATACACCCGGACTACAGGTCGCTGAGAATGAAGGCACTCGTCAAATATTAGTGTTGAGATATTTCTTGACATTTGTTACCTCAGCCATTTAAGGGAAACACGACCCTCTATAGTAACGGTGATTTTCACCCGGTGGTCTTGTGAAGCCTAATAAAAGGCTTCTGCATTCCGTATTCTGGTCTTTGGTTTGTTAGCTGACCTAGACAGTTTGATTGCATGGCTGCATTTTCTGTGCCAGCGGGTACCCCAGGAACATCCGGCTTAGCTGATACCAAATATTGTCATCTGGAAGATATATCACGGAATTTCGTCCTAGGCATTATCAACCTTAAGACCTTCCATATGTCATTTGCCTGACAAATGTTCATTTCGTCAAATACTTAATCGTCCCAGTTTAACTGGTATTTCGCCAGGCTATTTCAAGATCCCCCCCAAACCAGTTGAATGCTTGCACATGAGGAAAAGTACCACCAACCCGGGCACTATTTAACGAATCATGCTGTGAATATGTGCTGAGTATTTTCTCCCTGCATCCTGCCTAAGCCTCAGTCGTTTCACAAAAAGTGCGTGTTACATGGATCGATTTTAATGAGACCAGTGTATCGCTGAGGCGGAGTTTCGGTCTTGATGGCGACAGTCAACATACGCCCAAACTATGTATACCGATTGTTTGTATTCTACCCTGGTGTCGCTTCCCCAACACGGTCGAAGTCATTTGGTCATTTCAAAGTTATTTTTCAGATGCGGTGCTGTACGAGTTGTTTGCTTTTCTTATCACGTGTGATCCGTATAAGCCAGAATAGCACAGATCATATCAGCTGTCTTAACATGCATGAACTATGTTCATTTCGGTCAGATAATTCATGAATCATTTAGGAGGATCAAGAAGCGTTTTGGCTTGAAGGTCTCATTATTTTCACCCAACTGTGCACATGTTGCAAGGAAGTCCACGTTCACACAATAAAACTCAATGAACGCAGAACTGTATAGCACAGTTTGTCCTGTTTGAACCTCGCCATCATTCAGTCGCAAGTCATCCTCGGACTGAAGTCATTGATTCATCAACCTGACTGTCTTATGGTATACCTAGCGTGAAAGAATCATTTATATGCGGCCATCAGTTTCTAACTATGTGAACGTTACCTATGGCATGCGGCTGGGGTGTGCACGTTTAGTGTCCAAGTTTAGTGTCCAACGAGTTTAGTGTCCAACAGAATGTTTTTGAATCACAATGCAGGATGACATAGTGAAACTTAATCAACCGTGTCCTTGAATGAATAAGGTGAATGCGGAGAGGAAAACCAGAGTGAGCCAGTGTGCGAAGCCAAGGTGCTGGCTCGCAAGCCTAAGCACAATCAATCTAACCATCATTTGAAGGATCCCATCGGGTACGTCGTTGTGCCCACTGGGATTTTTCAAAGGATCGGGTTATGAGATGCATTAGTTTCTATACTAAGGCCTTTCCACATACACTCTCGCAATGATGTCACTGGAAGCGAATGTACTACTAACTACGATGCATCTATTTTTACCCTAAGACTGTTCGAACAAAAATTGCACGTATAAAATTATGGCGTTTCTACATACATAACCAACTCGTATTAGTGAATTTGCACATATTGGATTGCGTAAATCTTGCTTTCGATTCTAAATGGGGAAATCTCCTCTTTCACTGACAGGTACTTTCAAGGATTCGATTGGATTGGTTTACTTCGAAGAACATTAACGCCACCAATTCGACCACAGGTTAGCCAAAAATGCAAAATCAAACTGTTTTCTTTTGCGGATGGTCAGCCCATTCTCCACTACAATTGATTGCATCTCCTTCCCTTTCCCTGCACAGGTAACTGGCCCGACGGACGTGTCAAATTTCGATAAATACCCAGATAAGATTGAATATCCTCCGGACGAAATGTCCGGGTGGGATGCAGATTTCTAATTTTGCATCCCCTGTATCATGCCCATGTGCTGCGAGTTGGTGCACATAGCCCCTACTTTGTCTTGTAGTTCCCCGATTGAAAAGCTCTTTATCTATACAAGTGATTTGATGGAGTCTTTCGTGAGGCTAGTGCGTATTCACAAAGGAACAATCGCACAAAACCTCAAAGCTTCAGTGACCTAGTTAATTTACTTCACTTGTTCAACACTCTGTGAATGAATTTCTCACAGTGGGAAATGCGGTTGGCATGTTTTATTCTTGTATCCCCGTGGTTTACTCAACCACACTGTACAGTTCCCTTGCAACATTAAAAACAGCAGATATCCCCTGTGTTCTCTCTGTCTTGCTTCGTCACTTGCATTTGGACGGTGAGCGACGAAGTGATTTCGGATAGCCCAGTATCCTTCCTATCGAAGGAGTTGAAATTAGAGCTACCCTGAAGAGATCCGCCAACGGTGAACATCTATGTACCTGTACAAATTTCCACTTGTGAGAATCAATGAAGCAAAGAGGAATTTCAAAAATTCATTCACTGACTCGATTTGTTTCGTCTTGTAGGTCCATTAAAAAGGGAAAATAATCAGCCACCATCGACAATTTAGTATGATCACTGCAGTCTGACAGGGCTACCTCTGTAGCTCACCTTAAGTATCTCTTTTACTGGGATCCAATGCTACGTTCAGATGAACAAGTCGCTCACCATGTTGCGAAGTGACATGGTAGCCAAGACGGCGCATATCTTCCATTGTGACTATAGAAAGAAATTAGACTATGCTAGTCGGGTGACTCGTGAACAAATCCTTATGCCTGACGCCTATATATGAACGTTAGGTAGCCGAACCGGGAAAATCAGTCGGTTCGGGATTTTGTGACATAGCTGCACCAAGGCATATAGATATCTGCACCTTTCCACTGGTTGATTTAAAAGTCTAGTGAAAGTGCTACAATTGCCAGCCCAAAGAAAATCAACTTCCAGTTGGGATGGGAGTAACTATTACTTGTTCGAAGCAATGAATTGTATTCTAGCGGTGGCAGGGGATATTTCTGTCATCAAGCTTGAACCTCTTGAGATTTGGCGTATTTCAAGCATTACCAGGAATGAATTTCTTCTATGCATTACATTTGCTGGTGTTTCTGCAGGCTGTTGAGACCGAGGAGGTCTGAAACATTTCAACTAATAAAGCCACATAGTCTGGTGTCACTGCAAATATGTTGTTTTCCGTCATATTTCTAAAACTACCGCCTGAGAGAAGATTTCTAAGCCCAATCAACACCGGTAAATCTTATCTGTATGATGTAGGTATTGCCTTTTTTTAACGTACCGCTCTCCGTCACATTTCTAAAACTACCGCCCAAGAGAATATTTCTAATCCCCATCAACACCGGTAAATCTTATCTGTGTGATGTAAGTATTGCCTTTTTCAACGTACCGCTTATATCTCCCTAGATAGCACATTTGTAATCATGCAGAGTATACTTAATTCCTTACGTACCGTTGCATCCCACCACCAGGTTTCACTTTACACAACATATAATTGTATCCTCTATAAAAGTGTTATATCTGCTGATTCGTCAGTCTTTGGCATCTGCTGCTGACCCGCCTTAGTGCGTAGTTTCAAGAAAAAAGACTCACAGGAGGGAACACAACAGCCATATTCCGGACAAGCGAGTGCGAGAGCAAAGGTTACAACTGCCCCACGCTATTTAAACGAGACTTTCTGACATTGATCCAGGCTGTCTGATAGGCGTTAGTGAACTCCCATCAACATCGATCGTTCCTGTATGAAATGCCCGAACGCAGATCACATTCGGTCGTGCTTCTGTGGCGTGCATGAGGACTGATTGGCTTTTGCTGAATTGATTGGATGATTGACTGGCGTGGATACTGTCGGCTTTCCTTAGATTTTTGGTAGAGCAGTAGGTTTCGGGCGTTCTGAGATTACTTTCAGGAATCCGACTTTCCTGCTAAAAAGTGTCCCTGGTTTTCGCATTTCACAGTAAAGATGTACAAGGAAGATTTAGTCAGATCATGCCAACTTCCGACCTAGGTTGTCTAGATCTTAATCTCAGCTGGTTCTAGCTCAGTGATTACCATAAGGCATAAAATCACGGCTTCACTTCGTCGTGGTGTTCAAAATACTCAGATTTCAGTCTTTACTCTGATCGTTTACGTGGGCATCGAAACGTCGGCGAACGAAGCAAAACGAATCCAGCCTATTCCCCCCCCCCCCGTGAGTACCAACTCATTTGTAAACAAGCGTTAATCGCAACCAATAGCTAGTTCTAATGTAGCGGTGTCGCACTGGCATTGATGTAATCGTGAAAACGAGTAAGTTCTATATGAATGGTGATAACATATGAACTAGCATATGTTAGTAGTCGGGAACTGCCAAACCGTACGGATTATGTTCGGTCAGGAATTAAGTAAGTGATGAATTAGCCGAACTACTGTATTTCAGTAGCAACCTATATATGTTAATAAACAAATTAGGGACTTGCAGCACACTTGGTTATTACAAATATTCGAATGGTTAAGAAGTGTCTTGCAACCGCTGACCCATGTATACCTGATTTCGACCTCAATTGTTTGACGGATACACACAAGCTCCGTTCGGTTCGTCCTTCATTCCCACCCGCTTGCTCTGCAGGGTAAGCAGTCGGGTTTGTAAATTAAAACAAAGTAATATTCTCATGCAATCCCACGTAAAACGAGTCATCAGCAGCAATTTTCACCACCTGTTCGCAGAATTTATCTGTCAGTCAAAATCTTCCACGGGCTCCGTTCTGTGAACTTATCTGTCTATGCCGTACGCGTGTTCAACAAAGTCATTAGACCCCAAAAGACCCCTCACAACTACTATTCGGTTTCTGCAAAAGGCAAAATTATCACGCAACCAGCAGTAACAGCTCTTTTGGAAAAGTGTTAACACATTGATGCAGCCTTAACACTTCTCGGGAATTCCTGAAAGGTTCCAAATGCGCACCCAAAAGATTTATGGTCACTGATTTTACATGTGCCCTTTAAGGACGCTTAATTGTTTTGGTTTTAGGAAGCCATTTAAGGAAGCCCACACCAGGCTCATTAACCGGTAACCTCTGGCATAAACCCATTCTCCATTAGCTTATAAAATGTTCTACCGTATTCGCTATCACTTGACCAACCACGGTCAGATGATCTCATTAAAGTCTAAGACGTGTGGTATTGAACCTTCAGTAAAGCGTACGACGGTTCGTTGTCGATTCACTGGTGGGCGCGCGCCAAATTTGAAAGATTTATGCACCTATTTGCCGGTATCTACCTACCTGTCTAACTTTGCTTTTCTAAGCTAGAAGACCCCTGGGGCAGATGCGATACCGGAAAGTATGCAAGTAATTGTTTCCAAGGGACTCTTTCTTCTAGAGGTTGGTATCTGCTTACAGTCCAAGCTGCTGAAGACGGAAACATTCAAAGTAGATGCGGTAGACACCAGGGCCTGTTGTGAGCATTGTAACCGCCGTAACCAAGACAAGGCATGCTAAAATAGATAGATCACCTGGCTCGTTGAAATAAAAACTTCTTGCAGAATCACATACGCCACTTTTGATGAAGTAATCCCATGAAATTCTCTTCGGAGAACACATGATCCCGCTGACGTAGACAAGCACTTTCTTTCCAAGGTCTGTAAAGTTTGCTCCATTCACCTCTCTAACCCTTTACACCCCGTTGGTTTGTGCGGGAGTTCCGCAGAGTTCCGTTTTCTGGATTCTTGACTTCCTAAGTGCAACTCCATAATGTCTTTGAGATCATTGCAACTAATCACAGCCTTTGGGAGTAATAACGTTAGCATATCTGTTCGTGCAGTGCTTTGGGTAATGAGGTAATGATTCTGAATTTATCAGGAAAACAGATCGTAAGAATGTGATGTTTAAGTAACTTTCACTCTTTGTTGCTACACAAACACTCTAGTCAGTAGACTAACATCGCCCACAGGATGATAAATTGCACCGTCTCAAGAATCACACAACCAGCTTCCCAGCTATGAAGTATTGGCGTACTGTTAGGGCATATCAAGAAGCTATTAAACGTGATTCTGGGCTTAAAATATGCGACTTACAACAAGCGTCAGATTTTGAGTTCCGAAAGTGTCGTATCGCTGCCCTAATTCGGCCCTTTTTAGCAAAACCTAGTACCAAAGCGCTTGCTTATAAGTAGCCTCCGACGGCTTTCTGGCAAAAATAACACTCACATACTGAACACAAGTAGAATACAAATGCATCCTATTTGCATTATGACTACATCACATAGTTATCGATTCAACTGTCATATGACGGTTAGTACTCACGCACTTGCATATCAATGAGTGCACAATGTAGGCCACAGTAAAAGGAGTGAGCTCGGTTAACATTTTGCTTGATCGACGTCCGCTTACGCGCGTCAGATTAGCAAGCTGCTGATGGCGTTGTTGTATTTACGTTTTTGAATGACACTCGCTTTCAGACCGTTTAATTTAGACAACTCAGGCCTACTAAACAGCTAAACAAAATGGCAGACTGATTTCGTCACCAAAGACGAACTAATCATTCTCTTGATCTCTAACTACTGGGTCCAGTTGAAAGGCTTTTGTTGTGTTTTTGGATGAATCCGTGAAATTATTTTAAGCTAGGCGCTTTCCTTACATGTTGCAAATTTTTGTATATACCATACTGATGACTGTTCAGGTGACGAATTCACCAAATAAACGCTGGTCTGTTCACTTCTTCTGAGCAATGGCGTTCATGTGGAACGTGTTTACGTTTTGAATGACACTCGCCTTCAGACCGTTTAATTTAGACAACTCAGGCCTACTAAACAGCTAAACAAAATGGCAGACTGATTTCGTCACCAAAGACGAACTAATCATTCTCTTGATCTCTAACTACTGGGTCCAGTTGAAAGGCTTTTGTTGTGTTTTTGGATGAATCCGTGAAATTATTTTAAGCTAGGCGCTTTCCTTACATGTTGCAAATTTTTGTATATACCATACTGATGACTGTTCAGGTGACGAATTCACCAAATAAACGCTGGTCTGTTCACTTCTTCTGAGCAATGGCGTTCATGTGGAACAACAGAACTTCGCTGAATTGAAAGTCCAAATGTCAAAGGATCGATAAATGTAAAAACTGCGGTCATTCGGTAGGCGAATTTCCGTCTTTAGAATGATGACTACGTTGTTCTAGTGTTACTTACTCACTGACGGATTTCACTCGCCGTATGAAATAAACAGTTACTATTCCGCTTTAATGGTCTAAAAGAACATTAAATCAAAGTCCAACTAGCAATATGCAATGTCTGAATTATCAGTGAGTAA